TATCATACATGACAAATTCATTTTTAAAAAAAAAGTTATTTCTCAATTCTCTTTGATACCCATATGATATATATCACATATGGACAGGATATTATAAATGAATAATTTATTTCTTTAAAAAGAAAGCTCAGCCTTTTATGATACCAAATTGGTATATATCATATACCGATAGAGTATTATAAAGGACTGGTTCATTTTTCTAGAAATATACTTATTAGTCCTCCCATAACCACCATGGACTACTGATTTTTATTTCCACCAAAGAAAACCTCAAACTCACTCAAAACCGTACCTTCATCTCGATAAAATATCAATCACCACCTAACAATAAAAGATCTTTCATCTTTGCATCTTGGGCAACAAAGGCTAAACGACGAAATACAAGAAATATCCGAATCTTGTTATTATTTTGTTTAATTATAAGAAAAGGCCCTTTGGTAACTTTTGAATTAATTAAATTAGCACAAGCAGCTAATTTACGGTTTTATGGGAATGATTTCCTTCCACGCCATTCATAAATAAAATAATAAAAAATAATAATATTAATAAATATCATAAGAACTTTGCTAAAAAAGTTTAAATAGTTAAAAATATGATTTTTTGTGTGAAAAACCTAAAATTATAATAGTGTACTATTGCGTTATATTGTATACTATAATAATATATTGTTACAGTAAATTACATACTGTTAAATTATATTGTGTACCGATATGGCATACAGTATCCAAAATGGGATCCTGGGTTCTTCATCCAATAGTATACTATTACATTATACTATATACTGTAATAATATTCATTTTCAATTAATTGTATACTGTTTAAATTAATTATTGTATACCAAAATAGTATATAGTATATCATTTTGGTATACAATATAAATTTGTCTTTTGTTGCGCTAGTTCAACTCAGTTTCAACCAAAATTCAAAAATTTACTCCAAAATTTCCACCAAATTAATTCAAAGTTTGGCCACATCTTTAATCAATATTTCAAACACACTCCAGTCATAATCACATCGAAACACCTACAAATTCAATAAATTCAATTATTGAGTTTCAGGTTTTAAGGTCCTTCAGTGGTGGATTTAATTTTTATTATAAATATTCAAAAATAGCATTAACAGCAAAATCTACACATCAAGGAATAATGTCCAACGAATTTCAAGAAAACACCAAGAAAAGAAAAAACAAGAATTAGAAGAAAACAAAAACATCAAAATTTCTTGTTTTTTCCTATTGTTTGGTACTTACTCCAAAAGTGCAAAGAATAGCATAGAAAGACCAGGAAATTGTAAGTAACGGAATCCTAGAAAAAAAAATCATAGGTTTGAGACCACCTAAATCCCTCTCTTTTCACGGTAACTTGATAGAAAAAATTGAAAATTTTCAAATTATTAATCTAAAAAAGCAGGTAAAAGATAAAAAAGGAAAATATGGTGTTGCGACAATGGTATGTGAATATGGTGCATTGATGGCCTCCTTTGATGGTGGTTTTGTCCATGGGGAAAAGGGGCGTAGGAAGTGGTGGATGAGTTGTAGGTGGGAGGTAGGGTGAAAAGAAAATGATAAGAAGAGGAAAAAAAAGGAAAAAAGATTTAGGCCAACTGGCCTTTTCTGGTAAATAAGCATCTTGGTTATAGACTAAACTAGTGTATTAGCCCACGCTTCACGTAGTTGAGAAAAAAATAGTAAATTTATGAATTTATCATTTTGTATAATTAGTTGTGATAAAATAAATAAAATTATTCATCATGTATATGCATTAAAAAGTAATTTTATAACTAGTAAATCAAAATTATGAGTATATTCATTGTATGTATGTATTACCCAATATATTGAAGTTAGTTCTTTCTATGCAATGTTTTTGATGTCCAATTGATCGTGTGTCGCTCTCTGTCATTAATTATTCGTGTGGTACACCACTCTTCATATCTTTCTATTTTCTGGAACAAAAACAATGTTATTAAAACTATAATAACGGCATATACTTCCATAACTATTTAACAACAAATTTTATTAGTAAAACTATATACCTGATAACTTTGTGTTATATTCTCTTGATTAGAATCATTATGTTATCATCAATTATATCTAGTTCAAATGATTAAAAAATACTGTTGATTGAAATCTTATTAATATCATTGGTACCCGTAAATCATGCTTAAGGGAGAAAATATTGCCTTTTTGATTTTGTATTTTGGTGGCTCCTTGAGAGCAAATTGAATTTCAAAACTAATAAATAGCCGATCTTTTACATAAATTAATAAAAGAGGCATAGTTGACTAACTTATTTAATGAATCTGTATGACTATGACTTATTTCTCCCCCAAGAAAATCATCCTTCAAATAGAAGATGCAAATACGACCTTAGACACTGCGTAAGATCATTTCTCCCCCGTGACCCTGTGCAAGCGCCCATCTTCCTTACCATGCCATGCCTTAGCTTTTCCATCCCTTCTATGCTTTTGCTACATGTTGCCTTTGCGGTGTCATGGACGCGTCAATGCCATGGTTTTTGCACCTAAACCACATGATGTAGTGCCACAGTCCATGCCCATCTACATATGCCCATGTTGGGCAGTCTTGCCAACATGATGCTAACATCCATCATAGGGTTGTGCCGAGGTCCATCATGTAAATCTCTCATCACGCCCACGCAATGTTAGATTAACCATGCTGAGGGGCTAACAAACCTCCCCCACCAGATAAGTTCGTCGCCCTCGACGAGGCAGAATCCAGATACGCCAAGATTTCTTCTTTAAATTTCCGTATAGATGACCCTTTCTCCCAAGTCGTATCACACTCTTGTTTCCCCGTAACATTGAACCAAGAACTCTATCCTTCAGTTCTTTTTTCTATAACCCAGCGTACGGTGATCCAAAATCTTCTCAATGGTCTCCCCATATTGCTTATGCTCTACTGGAGGAGCACATTCAAATACCGCCCTTATTGGATCTTCAGCATCTTCATAAAACGGTTTTAGGAAGCTTACATGAAAAGTTGGGTGTATTTTGAGACGTTCCAGCAGATTCAGCCAAAATGCCACTTCACTGTAACGACTTAGTCGGTATGTATTATACATATGTATTTGTCATTACGTGACTTGCCGGGCTGGTTGGTTTGGTTTCGGGGAGGTTTTGGTGTGAATTGGGATACTTAGTCCCAAGGTTGGAAGCTTAAGTTGTAAGAGTTGACCAGAGTTTGACTTTTGTGTAAATGACCCCAAAGCGGCGATTTGATGTTTCCAATAGCATTGTATGATGATTTTGGAATTAGAAATATGTACGGATTTTGATTTGGATGTTCCTAATTCGTCTTAGCTTAAATTGGCAAAAGTTAGAAACTTAAAGGTTTGAAAGGTGATAAGTTTGGCCGAAAGTTGACTTTGTAGATATTGGGTTCGAATTTTGGTTCCGGAAGTTGAAATAGGTCCATTGTGTTATCTCGGACTTGCATGCAAAACTTGAGTTCATTCTGAGTTGATTTGATAAGGTTCAACATGAGTTTTGTGAGTTGAAAGTTCATTAGGTCCTTAGGCTTGAATCGAGGCGCATGCAATACGTGGTTTTGATGTTGTTTTATTTAATTTGGGGCCTCGAGCATGTCCGTATTATATTTTGGGATTGGATGGGGTCCCGGAGTCCTCGGGTGAGTTCCCGAATGGTTTCAGATCATTCCTAGGTGTTTGGGAGTTGCTGGTGTGTCTGCAGTGCTTCGAGATCACGGAGCTAGGCTTGCGATTGTGTAAAGGAATTTGGGCAGCTAGCGGTTGTTCTTCGCGATCGCGTAGGTCGGGACGCGTTCGTGGTGTATTGTGATCGTTGGCCTTTGTGTTCGTGAGGGGGCCTCGCTTTAGCGCAGCGTTAAGGCTGGGGAAAGGTCGGAGCTACACCTTCGCACTCGCGAGACTAGGGATACAATCGTGTGACTAGGGATTCGGTCCCGAAGGTTTAGGTCGATGAAGGTCACGATCGCGACAGTTAGACCGCGTTTGTGAGGGGTATTTGGGAGTGGTGTATTTTTGCTTTAGCAACCGCGATGCATATGCCCGGGCTGATTATTTAAGTGCTATATTTCGAAGGTTTTGGTTAGATTATCACAATTTGAGTTAGAGAGCTCGGATTTGGGCGATCTTGGAGCACTGCAAGAAATTTAATTTTTAACGATCATTTCTTAACGAAGGGACATAAATCTGGTCGTTATAAGTGTATTTATAGCAACTAAATTTTTTTCCAGTCGTTAAAACTAATTTTTAGCTCAATATTAACGAAGGGATAATATTCGGCCGTTAAATATAATACAGCCGGTCGTTAAATAATTATTAATTAAGAAAAGGAGCTACCTTTTCCCTCATTTTCCCCACATTTCCGCCAAATCTCCCACCCCCCAGAAAAAGGAAAAAGCCCTAAGACGTCGACAATTCTCTAAATAGTTCGTATAAAACTAAAAAGCCTGAAACATCGACTTCTCTAACAGTTTCATCATAAACCTCAGTTTTGAACGAATTAGCAGAGAACTGCTACGGCGAATTCAAATAATTAGAGAAATTGCTCTACTCTTTTTTTATGTGAATTGAGTGATAATTTCGCTAGAAAAGGCATCTGAACTAGGAGCAGGGATGAGAGAGGCCAGAGAATAGATTGTGATTTGACTCCCCATCTGTTGAGCGATATCTGTTTTTAACGAGCAACTACTATATCTCCTGCCACGATTAAATCATCTTCTCTAACCGTGTATTCTGATTGTCAATTTTGTGTTATCAGTTTCACTGAGTGCCAAGTATAACTGTCAAAATATCGGTCCTCCTAAAATTAAAGTTGATAATTTTTAGCGGTTGCGATCACACTTGTATGTATATGGATGTTGGTGTTCCCTTTGGTGAAAGAATGACACAAAATACAGAAATTATTTCTATCTATATATTGATGGGACAATAAGATGAATCAATGTGTTAAACCAAAATGGACAGGAAAAGGGGGAGAAATGTTGTGTTTCAACTAGAAGTAATCTAGAGAAGAGGGTGGATGCACTGTCCTCTTTTGGTCCTTTCCTCCATTATAGCTTATCTAATTATACAACAGCCTTAAGGAATCCTCATAAGCTTATTATATAACAACTATGATGGAAATGACACTAGTAGAAACTTTGTGATGAGTGACCAAATAAGCATCGATGCAAGCTACTATGCATTGTACCAAAATGTCATACTCATTCGGGATTGATTTAGAAGGGGTGAGGAGGTATATGAGAAGACAAAAAAGGAGAAAAGATTGGGAGAATGCGTAAAGTTGAATGTAGTATGATGGAGTCTTTTATAGGCATACTTTACAATGTGTATATTACATTTAGCCGATGTGAGACACTAGTATGTGCACTGTTACTTCTGTACGTATTTAACTTGGTCTAAGCCTAGCTATCTTCCCCCTCAAGGGGTGTGTGTATATATGTCGTATGTACCACATTTTGTTTCAACCTACATATATAGTTCATAGATTAACAAGGAACTTAGTATGTAAGCAAGTTAGTCCTCTGACTTTGCTGACTTGGTGATGGTGTCTCTATGATAAACCGACTGTCATTTCTATATGCTTGGTTCTCTTTAAAAATACTGGATTAGATGCAATACGAATTGCAGTTTGATTACTGTACATAGTTGTCTGATTAATCTGCACAAACTTCAATTCTCGGAATAGGTATTTCATCCATATGAGTTCATCAGGTTAATCGTACTGGCCCAATATTTGCTTTAACTTGCAACCACATATTGTATCATGCTCTTTCAGGATGGATGGGCTAGGGACTAAATGCGCACAACTTGCAAAGCTAGTGTTTGATTAGCCTTCATCACCATCTTCAAGATCAATAGATTGAATCATTTAATAGGTTAGTAGATTGAAAATCCTATTTTACTCTGTGATGTATGAGATCGATTTACCACTATCCAATCTCGTCCTTTGAGTTGTTGCATAGCTGGAGAAACTGATTCTATGGTATCTGCTGCCTGCTTCTCACACTTATCATCTCTAAACCCATCAGTAACATCTAAGTATCAAGCTACTGCTATAGGAGTTTGTCAAGATTTGCCTGGAGCGTGAAGCACCTGAACAGATGTTTTATCCACATATATCTGCCCCTGTTCAAAATTTGATTGCTGCACGGTTTCATTAAGTTTTTCCTTACCCCAGTTGCTTCATTATCTCAACAAACTTGAGTACATCCTCGATCTGAAACACGATCAACAGTAGGGTCTTTAGAAATCTACTTTTTCCCCTCACAAACCTGAGACACCCTATTCACAGTTGTAGCTTTAGAACATACTGGTTTTTCAAACAATTCAGTAGGTACAAAAGCTGGTTGATCATGTACATACACCAACTGTTGATATGGGCAACAGAGGGCCATCACCAATGGTTCCTTCACTAATTGTTGTGTTTCTTAGTCTGCTCATTTTTTGTCCAACAATTTCTAGCATAGGTGGAGGTGCCACCATTGTTCTTTCTAACATTGTTATTTCCTATCTCCTTGACACTTGTTGTATACTAATATTCATTCCTATACAAAGTATATCATCTGCTACCCATTGGGAAGGCAGTACTGGTTCTGTTGTATATGATGGAGAAGGTTTGTTTGGGGTAGGGACCATGTTCCTAGTTATCCTCTTCTTCTTTTTGGACAATCTGATGGGATAAGTTCTCTTTTTGCTTTTAATTTTTTATAATTAGTAAGATGATAAAATTATCACTTTTGTTAGAGATGGAATAAACAAAGCGTATAGCAGATTCTTTAGACAAACAGAGAAAAATGTACACTCGTGACACTTCCTTAATGTTTTGGATTCTCAGTAGGAAATTTCAACACCTTTGTACCATCTGTTGCCTTAGGATCCTTCAAAGCAGCAATAGTTTCAGGAGATGATTGAGCTCGATTCCCATTAGGAGTTAGAGCATCAAGTACCTGCCCAGCTCTTTTCTCCTTCCGATCTGTTGAGAGTTGCATCTTAGATTGTTCAAGTTCCTTAGTGATCAACTGTCCAGCTGCATTAGCGTATTGCTCAACATCTATAATTATAGCAGTCCTTTCGATCAACCACAGGTGCTTTTGCATTCTTCAAAACCTGAGAACCCCTTAGAGCTGGGGCAAGAACTTCACCTGCTAAATATTTGGGGGCTAGGGCAAGGACTTCACCTGCTAAACCTTAGAGCCGCCCTAGCAATGGATTTGAAGATTGCCTCATCAGTGAAGAAAGAGGTGAATCTCGCAGCCGCGTAAAGTTGCAATTTTGTTGATTATACAGTAAATGCTCACAAAATTAACCTGTTTAATACTTGCCCTCGTTTAAATTAGTTTTTATGTACCCACTTTTGCAGGAGTTAAGTACAATTAGCTGGTTAAACGATTTATAAATATGTTCATATTTCTGAGCTAGTTTTACATTTTTTTTGTAGAACTAGACAATAATTAGGCTTTCCAATAGTGCAAATTCAAAATTTATGTACAATAGATAATTTCTAACAATTAGCTTCAGGAGGAACGATGATATGTAATTTCTCATGTTTAATTGTTATAAAAGGTTCTAGTCGAAATTGTCAAGTTAGCTCAAAAGCGACAGATGAAAGGAAGTAGCGGAGGGTGGAAAGATTTTTTGAGATCATATGACTAGAAGTTAGGGGTTAGCTTGAGTGACCCGTCCAAGAGGTCCGTTGATGATCTGCTTGCGTTTTTGAAGACGTTTAGTCAAGAGTATGACATAAAGATGGTTAATATCGATTACCTCTTGTTTTCATTCGGTTAATTAGCGTAAAATAATGCTGCTACTACTAATGCCATAATGTCCCTTTTGTGCAGCTTTTTAAAAAGGTGTTTCAATGTTATTCCATTCGAGATGCTGTAGAGAAGCTTCAGAAAAAGTCCCCGGATAGTTAATCTGCGGAACATGTGAAGAGTATATTTTGGCTTCTAGTATTATTACGATTCATAACTGTGACATTAGGTTGGTTTTGTTGTAAGATAGTTGGGAAAAATCTACTTAAGTGGGTTGAGAGTAGCTAATTCATCTCCAGTCGCTGCTAATAGGTCTTATAACTTGTTTTGTTAGAATTTAACTGCGGCTATAACTTGTTCTGTTAGAATTTTACTACGGCTATAACTTGTTAATATATAGTTGATATTTGAGAGTGACAACCTGATGATCCGTGGTTTGAATACCAGCTACAACACATGCTATGATGAGTGATTTTCTCTAACCTTGGTGGGCGGAGTTACCATTGCCAACATATGCTTGTGGGCAAGACATGCTGCTCGATGGATTATAGTCAAGTTGCTCGCAAGCTAGCCGGGCATGGTGATAGAAAAAATTAAAGATAAAAATAAAAATTGGAATTAATATTCAGAATTATTGATAGCAAAATAGTTGCATGCTCTCCAATTTTGATAAACCACCCCCCCACTATACACACACACTTTTTTTCCCAACAACTTTTGTGCTTAATAAATTGATATTGTGGCAGTGCAGGGACTGATTCGTTTAACTTTTGAGCACCCTCAATATCCGACTGATTACTCATTTCCATCACACGAGGAGGTTAGACTAAATGAATTTGTGAATCCAAACAAACCAATTGCAGATTACAGAACTGAGATTACTGGAATAAACCGCTGGAGATTTAGATAAAGTTTCTTGTTCATTGGCTGATGTACAGATGTCCATGAAGAAGTTATTATCACATGTAACCATATTGATTGGCCACAGTTTACACAATGACCTTCGAGGTAAGCTGCATATTGCATCATAAGTGATGGTCTTTAATTAACATTCAAATCTTTGGTGCACATCTACTGGTAATGGAATGATATGACTTCTATGATCACGTGTCTCTTTTTAATATCCCCAGACTTTAATGTTATTTCTACTCCCTTTTCTCTTTTCTTTCCCTGTCCTTAGAGTATTATGTCATGCTTTTCCTCAGTTATGTCCTTCGCTTCTTTTTGTTTTTTTGATAAAGCTCTGTTATGTTGTTCTTAATAGCTTTGAAGGTAGATCATGCAAGAGTGATTGACACATTTTATGTCTTCAAACATCGGGATCAACCTTCTAATAGAAGATCTTCTTTATGTAATTTGTGTAAAGTAAGCTGTGCTTTTTTAATCTTAGTATTTCTTTCCCATACTACGATATGTCCACTCTGTTGAATTGTTGGCCATATCAACCCTTACTTTGTATTCCTATTTTAGTTGGGAATTTTTAAGTGCAGACATTTTTTCAAATGCTTTTATCTGAACACTCCAAATAACTCTATTCGTTTTATGTTTAGTAAAATAGTTGTGCTACTTTTTTTAGCAGTCTTTATGGTTTGTCTCCCTGTTCTTCTTTTTCCAACTGTGGTTCCTTTTATAAACTGAAGATTAATAAGTATTTAACTATTTATCACAAGCTCTGCTTGGTGAATGCTATTGCTTACTTACAATAGTTTCCATATAGTCTGTCTTAGGTTTTGAACTTCGAAAGAAGGACTCTCCACATAATTGTCTGGATGATGTATGTACTGCAATGAAATTTGTTCTTGCCAAGATTGAACATGGAGTTGATTGTATCATACCATTAGTTCGTGAGGTGGTAATATCATAAAGCCTTTTATTTTAAATTTTATTTTCTTTCTTGTGTCCTGATTATAAGATGGTCATCTACTCCTTTGAATTTAGGTGCAAGAGCCCAAGGTGGCAAAGCTACTTGTCCACAGAATACCAGTGGCTGTTCATAGTGAAGAGTTACACAAGGTTATTCCTGGAGACTTTACCATAGAAGTTAAGGTTAGGAGAATCTCATGCTTTTTTCTCTCTCATGTCATATAAATAACGGAAAAGGGTCAAAAGTATCCCTATCGTATGGTAAATGGTTTATAAAAGCCCCCCGTCTATCTATCCGTCTGAAAATATATAGGACGTTGTTTCTAATTTTAAATTTACCCCCCTTAACGGAATTCCATGTCTGCATCTCATTAACTGATGTGGCCTTATTTCATTTGTCCACGTGGATCAGTGGGGCTAACATTTTCTTTGGGTATCTTTTTACCCATTAAACCGATCCGACCCATTTCTTTTACCTATGGGTTAGTCTTTTAACCCTAAACCCACATTTTTACTCGTCTTCTTCCCCAATTTAGAACATAGGTCATCTGTTCCCCTATTCCCCTTTATTATTCTCTAAAATTTCTCTTTTACAACTAATTAAATCTTGTCTTTTTCTTTCGAAATATCTGAAAATTCTGTCTCTTCTGGTTCGTCGCGTCTTTGTGGTTGTGGTTTAACTGCAAATCATTTTGTGGCTAAGACTCAATTGAATGGTGGTCGTCGATTCTACAAATGCCCTCGTTTTGACGATGCCTCTTCATGTGGTTTGTGGGAATGGCAAGATGAAGAGATGCCACCACATGTGACGATGCTAATCCATAACTTGAATACTTTACTGAAGTCAATGGAAGTTGAAAGAAATTATCTGAAGAAGATGGTGGCTAATTTGGAAGTTGTAGTTTCTGCTGAAAGACTGAAAATGGAGAAAATAATGGAAGAGGTCGAGGGAATTAATTCAGCAAAGTTACAGAAGGTTGCTAGGATGGAGGCTCAACTACAACATATGAAGTTGTTTATTTTGTTTTCTAGGATTGTCTTTGTGTTAATACTAGTTTTTAAGATGATGTAGTGTAGTTATGTTATGGTGTAGTTATGTTATGATGCAGAAGTTTGAAGTTTATGTATTATGTTTTGATGAAGTTTGAAGTTAAACCACAAAATTGAAATATGAAGTTTGCAGATGTTTATGTATTAGGTTCTGATTTATTTCCTTTTTCTGCATTTGTAATGTTTATGTATTATGTTTCCTTTTGTAATTCTACATTTGAAAATTATAATGGTTCTCTTTTGGTATGAAATGAAGTTTGTTACCATTCTCTTCACTCTCATACAATATTTAAATTCTTCATTTGTAAAGGTGCACATGCACAGACAATCACAATAACAAATAGAAATCTCTTATAGATAGACAAGATAGACAAGAAGAACATTGCCATTAATCGGGTAGCAAATTTACATTGTTTCAAGATTTCAGCCCAACAAAATATTGCTATTAGACAAGTAAATGTGTGATCCAAAACCTGTACCACTGTCACAATATTTACTTGTCTAAAAACCTAGAACATAAACAAACAACATGTACTCGAACAGTCATGCAAAAAAGGATTTTAATGTATATTACATTCATCATTTCTTGCTACACTACTCCCCCTTGCCCCTCCCCTTGACTCTTCTAGCTTTAAGTTTGCCAATGTTTTTCTCTTTCACACCCAACAATTGAGCTGTTGTCATTGCTTCCTTCCCCTTCCAGGTAGTTTTCTTTGGGGAGTATGGCAGTTTTGTTGGTTGTACTAGTGTGATCACCTGTGAATGGTATCTTCCTAGTGCCAGAATTTTGTTGATTCCTACACTGAAGTCTAGTCTTAATATCAGACACAATCTTAGGCCTCAAAACTGGGTCAGCTTCTGCACCAAAGTCTACTTGAATAAGCCTTCTTCTGGTCTGAATACTTTGACTTGGCATCTTAGTTGCCTGGGTGTCATGGCAGGATTGCTGACTTGGCTGTTGAGTGTCCTAACCGGATGGATGAGTTGGCTGCTGAGTGTTTTGACTGGATTGCTGACTTGGCTGCTGAGTGTCATGACTGGATGGCTGAGTTGGCTGCTGAGTGTTCTGGCTGGATTGCTAACTTGGCTGATGAGTGTCATGACTGGATGACTGAGTTGGCTGCTGAGTGTTCTGACTGGATTGTTGGTATTGTGCTTTAAAACCTGGAGTAGGGACTATAAAAAATTCTGATTCTTGGTCTTCATTTGTCTAAGTGTGGTCTTGCACTTTCTTTGACTATAATTATAATCAAATATACATGTTATCTTATGAGTAAAAAAAACAGATTGTGAGTATAAACAACAGATTGAAAGAATACCTTGTTGGATAATGAACAACTTCTTTTATTATGATTTGGCTGGCCACAAAAACTGCAAGTCATCTGAAGACCCTTCATAGATGTTGACCATTGTCTTTGCCTTTTCCTAGCTTCATCCTTCTCTCTTGACCTTTTCACTTTAGGTCTACCAACCATCTTTGCTAGTGGTGGTGGATCTATGGCTTGGTGTGGCTCAACTTTCTAGAATCTTTCACCTCTAACAGGCTGCAGTTTGTGCTGATACACCAACTGCCAGACTTGTTTGGAATACCACCAGTGAATCCCAAGTGTTGGGTCTTGTTTCTTATATAAGAGTGCCTTAATAGCATGAGCACAAGGGATTCCAAACAAGTCCCAAAGCCTGCATGTGCACCTTTGTTGCTCCAGAATCACTGTGTGCCTGTCTTCACCTTCACTTATTTCAAAACCCCTATCTCCATTAAAATTTTCCTTGCACTTTGAAGCCATCTCTCTATAATCATTGTATAACTCCATTGCATATGGGTTGTATTCACCTCTCCAACTGTTAACTTCTTCTGCTCTATCCTTTAGTTGATTCATCACCTTCAATAATTAATCAGTAACATAGTAAATCAATAGTATGAAATCATTTACATAGTAGTTAGTCAATAGTAGTAAATCAGTAGTTAATCAACAGTAGTAAATCAGTAAACAAGTAGTTAGTCAAAGTAGTTAACTTCACCTTCACTCTTATATCTTCAAGCATCTTCACTATTGGCTTATGTCTAGCTTCAAAAATCTAAGAGTTGAAGGACTCTGTAAAGTTGTTGTCCACCATTGGGTTCTTACATTGGGTATCAAAGTAAGCTCTACATCAGGTTAATGGAGGATAATTCAGCAAGTCCCTGACAGCATCCTTAGAAACTTCACCTAACTATTTCAACATGTCCTTAAATTCCTCCTCATATGTGCTCCAAGAACACCACCACATTAACTTTTTCATCTCATCAGTATTCCATTTTTTGCTCCAATTTGCTTCAATATGCCTTGCACAATATCTGTGATATGATTGTGGACATACATTCCTCACAACATCTAACACACCCTACACATGAAGAAACACTACATCAACAAAGAATGTGCTAAATGTAAAAATCTGCTAAATGTAAAAATCTGCATATGGTAACATACCTTCTGCATATCTGACATGAATGTGTACCCTTCACCATCTTTCAAGTCCAAAGAAGCCTTCAAGTTCTCCATGAACCTTTGCCAGGTTGTCTTTGTTTCCTTATCCACTATAGCCTAAGCTAGTGGATACACATGCTTGCAAGAATTTTGAGCAACAACAACTAATAATATCCTTTTGCATTTGCCTTTTAAAAATGTTCCACCTAGACCTATAAAAGGTCTCAAACCTGCTTTGAATCCACTCTTGAGGGCTTGGAAATAGACATACATCTCAAAAATCTTCTCTTACCTTCCTCCATTGCATCCTTGGATATCTGTATCACCACATCAGTACCAATGTTTGTTTCTCTCAACTCTTGAGCATATGCCTCCAATTTGTTGTACTCTTCCAAGTAAGAACTCTCCAATTTCTCTAAAACCATTCTCTTTACCCTTTTTAACTTTGAGTCACTCACATTCAAACTAAATCTATTCTCTAAATCAACCTTCATCTTTTTAATCTTAAACTTAGGATTATTTTGAATCTTTCTCTTAAAATAATGTGCTAAAGCAATAGGAGTAGCTCTTCTGTTCTCAAAGACTTTACCACAGTCATGTTCATCCCTCCAAATTTTTATCTTTACCCCTTAATCTTTGCCATCCTTAGAAATAAGACATTTAAAGGGACACCAAATCTGACACTTATGTCTAAGTCTTCTCTTATCACTCTTATCTGCCTTAAGGCCCCTCATATTAGACACAATATAATAACCAATATCCTCCTTAGCTTCAGCAAGATCTTTGAAAGTCATACCCTTTTCCAATATTTTATACCTATCAAGGTTGTCAGTTACCTCACACTTCTTCTGCCTCTCAAAAAAACCTAGGGAATCACTATCTTAATCACTATCAACACTTTCAATATTTGTATCATCTTCACTACTATCACAGTTAGAAGCTACAACAATAGGTATCCTATCTATTGCTGCTATAAACTAGATAAATACAGGAACATTTACAATATCATCCAACAGGTCAACACCAAATAATTGTACATTAGTGAAACCATCATTAATTAGGGCTTGAATCTTCCTAATCCCTTCATCCCCATCTAACAAAAAATACCTCCCAGAAGGGTTAAGAAATATCAGTTGTTGTACCTCAACATATCCTATCACTTCTGTGTATTCTTTACACAAATCAATATAAGAGAGATGGTCTACTTCATAACCACTCAACACATGCACATCTCTCTTAGTATAAGACAACATAGGTTCCAATACCCACTTGCCCCCATAATTAAAATATAAGTTCACTTTATCCACCATTCATCGGATAAAATCACATGCAAAAACAATAAAAAAAGGGCAAAATGGGACCACATCAGCAGTATAATACAAAGCGACAATAAAAATATAAAGATATAAAACCCCACCATCAATTAATTATACAAATCGACAAAAAACATAGCTTTAGTATGTAGGACCAATACGATAAGGACCACCAAAAACAAAACTAACACAAAAAATTCTAGAAAGGTACAAAAAATAGCTCAGAAAAGATAAAAACATCACATGCAGCAGACATAAACCTGTCAGTTCCCAAATATTCCCCAACCCTACAATTTAATAACTTTAAACTGTAAATACTTACTTTAATATCGCTGGAAATCAAAGGTCTTCCTGTTTTGAGCGCACCAAATTGGACCAGACAATGAACCCTAACGAAGCCCTAAAATCGCCATTGATAGTTTAGATAGAAGAAATGAGAGAAATGGTAAAAAGTAAGTATTTTGTCGGTGGATTTAGGGTTAAATGACTGACCCATAGGTAAAAGAAATGGGTCAGATCGGTTTAATGGGTAAAAAAATACCCAAAGATAATGTTAGTCCCACTGATCCACGCGGACAAATGAAATAAGGCCACATCAGTTAATGAGATGCAGGCATGGAATTCCGTTAGTCGTGGGGGTAAATTTGAAATTAAAAATAATGTCCTATATATTTTCAGATGGATAAATGGACGAGGGGGGAGGGGGAGTGGGGTTTATAAACCATTTACCATACGATAGGGGTAGTTTTGGCCCTTTTCCATATAAATAATAAATGACATCTTTATGCCGTTTGCACTACTTTATGCTGATTAGTTTATAAAAGCACATGTCGACGTTCAGTCGTTGAAGAATCACATTGTTGCTTGTTTGCATTTTTTTAATGGTCTATGCTATAGTCATACATGGATCCTTTAATTGCCTTAATGTACTCGTGTCAAACTGGTGTGACATTGGGCATAGGTGCTTTGCTAATTCTTCAAAAAACACTAATATTTGCCAGAAGCTACACGTGCCATGCCAATCGAGGGTCTATCAGAAACAGCTAGTACACACTACCTTCCCCAGACCCCACTTGTGAGATTACAGTAGGTCGTCGTAGTTGTAAAACCTGAGAACCCCTAACTATAGTAGCGTCAACAGGACCTGTAGCAGTACTAGAACCAGCTGTTATAGGTAGTAGCTTACAAACATCGGATCCTTTAGCTACAACATCTGATTCTTGCCCCTCATTAGCCACAATAGAAGCTTTAAAAACTTGTTGATTTATCAGATGGTTCACCAGCTGCATCCCTGCGACTGCCA